ATGATTTTATTATATTTTTTTTCATGTTTAGATACGGTTTATCTACATAATAAAAGCAATTCCAAAAATTAGGAAACATCCCCATTACAAAAATGCAAATCTATCCTTTTTAGAATATTACTATAGAAAGGCCATATGCAGACGTGACCATATGTAACGAGTATGTTAGTAATGTAGTGAAATTTTAAGCCCGTATAATGCCTTTCCTTCTGCATAACTTTTCGGTGTTAAGAAAAATAAAAATGGTTTTTAGACATTTTTACCTGTAGTCGCCTCTGCGCTTGCGGTGTGATCTCCACCACTCGCGACCATCGCCTCGACTTCCTCTCGTACTGCCAGTGCTCGCTCAGTGCACATTGTTCATCGTCAGAATCGTTCTGTAAAATTATTAAATATTTCTTTAGAATTGTTATCTTGTCATCATCATCAACTTGCCTTTATCCCTTATGGAGGGCCGGCACAGTATGTGCTGCTCTTCCATACATCTCTATCAGCCGTCATATTTGAATCCACTCCTTTCTTAAGCATATCCTCTTTCACACAATCCATCCATACTTCCAGTTTTTCCAGACTGGCCTTTACAACTATGCCAAATTTCATCAAGATCCGTATTGGAGTTTAGGCTACAAACTCTTACAAACATACCATCCATACATCTAAACTTTCGCATTTATAACATTAGTAAGACTATATCCAATAATTTTTATTTGATACTTCAGAGCGATGTCCTTAAAATTTGAAAACAAATGATATAAAACGGCACTAAAATAAATATCCGATATTATTTTTTTTTGTTAAGATTTCAGCTTCATGCAACTGACTTTACGTATATGAAACCTATGAAATAAAAAAAAATCATAATATACAATACAAAACACGCATCACTTCTCCACTCGAGTGAAGCCTACAGGGAAATCAGAAGTAATGAAAACTGTGGAGTTGTTATTTGCCATTTGTACGCCCGCTGGAGTTTCATATGTAATTTAAGTGTTATTAAATCGCATTCATAAAAGTGTTTTAGAAATAATATTTATACGTGCTTTATTCTAAGAAAGAAATACGACATTACGGACAATAATGTTAACATTTGTAAAAACATTTATCTTAAATCTACAGGACTTACTCAAGTGATCGTATCGAACAAAAAACATGTTCCGTTTATCAAACTGAAGATAGCAAAATTTATGTTCACAAGTGTACTTTCAAAGGCCACAAATGTACAAGAGTACTTACGCATGAATTATATTAAAAGCAAATTATATGTTTCTAAACTACAAACTATAAAAAGACATATGATACGAGCACACTTTACCGCTCGACTGTACCTATAATGGGCAGTTAGTTGATAAAGTAACCATTTAATAAGTATATAAATTTGCAATGATGATACTTTACGCGTGCCAATTTGTTGCGATGACGAGTTAAAACTGGGTATTACAATGTCTTGCTTGATGTTTAAACTAATTCAATTGTACCATCGAAAACACAAGTGTTGGTAATAATTAATTGAAAATTGTCAAATCTATTAACAACCCTTTTCTTTCTATTGTAGATAATTTTTACGTAAATAACATCACTCTGCTGTTTGTCGAACTATTTCTAAGAAATAGCTACCAAGTTGAAACTCATAATTTCAAAGAAAAAGTAATGCCGAAGATCCTTTTACCCAAAATAAAGATAAGAACAGATTACGCGGTAGAACAAAGTGATAATACTAAAAGCTCGCCGTAACAATGCTACGGGATTACTAAAACTATGATCTGAATATCTGACGCCTTTAGTACACAACAGATAAAGCGTAACGAAGCGAGACCGAAACGAAGTTTGATATGATTCTAGGGTAAATAACTTCGCGCAACTAAGAAACTTATTCTGTGTTTTGTTTTCGTGTACAGTTTGAGAGTTCGCTTTCTCTCTCTCTCTCTCTCTCATCAGCTTACTGTATATCTCCACTGAGGGGCGCGCTGCCCACCCTAAGTTAGAGTGTGGCTAGGCCTTAGTCAACCACGCTGTCCTAGTGCGGGTTGGTTGACTTCACATATGTCGTTGTATTTCTTTCTTAGCTTCTCTTCTTCCGAGAGCTCGCTTTGCTTCTGGTTAATTTTGTTGATTGTGTGCTACAAGCTTTAAGGTATATCTCTAATAGACTACGACATTTCGTAACTTCCTAGGATAAGATACGATATCAAAAGACTACGTTTTCAATAGCCATAAATCATGCGGATTTACGATCTTCTTTTGTTTTTAAAGCTTGTATATTCAGTTACTAATGTTATTATTTTTGCTTGATCGACCAATAGGTTTCTTTCGATACCTGCTAGGAATATATCGTCTTTATTTAGAACGGGGTTTAAAAACAAGAAAGGAGATAATCTATTTCTTCTTCTAGAACATCTTCTACTTTTAATCCAAATTTAATCGAGATCCGTTCAATAGTTTAGGCTACAAACTCTAACAAACAGGCATCCAAACTTTCGCATGTATGATATTAGTAAGATATAATGGAAACACATAAAATACATTTAGAATCTTTCGAAATTGATATATATATATATATATTTGAAACAGTGTGATATATTTCATGTTTTTTTTTCATAAATAAGAATATGTTAACTCGTTAAGTTACACTATATGAAATAGATGTTTTGTCCTGTTTCTTGATTTAAAAAAAATGTAATAGTTATATAGCTTTAAAACACTAAGAAATGAAAGTAGGGTAACCATATCAACAAGTAGACAAAATATATGACCAACAGGCCGAGAATCTCTGCCCTTTCGTATTTATTATGTTTTAATTAAATTAATGAAACGGCAGGCAAGCTTTACTTTACGCTTCAATATTTGCTAAGGCTCTACAAAGTACAAACATACCCAAAGGGATTTAATTACAGACCGACTGACAGACCGAATCAAGTTGCCGGCCAAGTACTAAAGATTAAGTTATTCTATTTGGGTAACAAAGGGGAAGCGGACAATTCTGAAACCACATTGACTTCGAATCTCGTTTCATCAATGGGTATTTTTTTTATAAGAAAAGGGGGCAAACGAGCGTCGGGAACACAGAGGTGGTCAACGATGCCCATGGACATCCGCAACACCAGAGGAACTACAGATGCATTGCCAATGTATGTGATTACCTTATATATAAAAAGAAAATTTAAAGTTCAGACTAACAAAACAAAACCGACTTCCAAACAAAATACACTAAAAACAAAACAAAATGCACTAAAAACAAAACAAAATATTCTCAAAAAAACAGTACACT